CATCTCTGCTTTCGTTCTTGTCTGGAACCCAAAAAAGTAGGCAACTGGAGGAGAAAAACCCGATGTAAAAGCAGTAATTTCTTCCTACAGTAACTATCCTACAACAATCGAACCATTGAGCAGCACACCTGCACGTCTTGATGTTTTGCGAGTATCAGTGCACTCCATCGAAGAGTTGTGGCGGTAGTTTCCATCCCAGCTAGGAAGAGATCAGAGCATACATTAAAAAGGTTGTCGTAGCTAAAAGTGGTATTCTGAGCGGTGTGAAGCCAGAGAAGCGACATGCCCTTTACCTCACCTCAAGAGAGGATTAGTTTTCATCTGTTTGTAATATGCGTGAACGAAACATTCTGGTTGCTGGGTGTCATCCCAAGAGAGTAGAGCTTTTTCCACATCCTCTCTAACTGTGTTTGTTATCTATAAAATCTTTAAAGCCGATGAAAAAAACCAGAGTAGAATTAAATTCAGGGTAAGTATGCAAGAATTTGTCAATTACTTTTAATCTCCAGCTGTAAAAAAACGGCAGGAAGAAAGGATAGCGCTGAAATCACAACATTTTTACCTCTTTCATAATTTTTTCGTTATCTCCTTTGACAAGATCACCTAGCACTGGAATATCGAGAATAGAAGGCATCAGTTGAGCGAGAAACATCGCTTTACTGCTCCTAAACCGAAAAGAAGGAGGTCGCGGCTCCTACAGGGCGCGCCATAAATATGGTAACAAAAAATTGGCCCCAGAAACCGCAGTCCATATTGATACATGGCCAATCCTTGTGAGTTATCTTCTATGCATAGCTTCTGCAAAACAAACACATGATCATTCCATATAACCGTCTCTTGTACTAATTATAGTCACACTGTGGTCCGGGAAATTCGTGGGAGGATTGCAAGCTGGGATAAAGTCGTGAACATTTCCTCAGCACCAGCCTTGACTTTTTCCCATTCGTGAGCAAGTGCGTCGCAGTTTTCAAATCGTACCCCAGAAGAATCTTAAACCCTCAACTGCATCCTTTCAGGAAAACCCTTCTTAAAGAGGTTCGGATTAAGCTTTGTACTTTTATCGACCAAAATGGGCTATATCGCTCTGATGGTAGAGATTCTAGCCCAAACCTTCATGAAAGAGTAAAAATGGCTACGAGAGGCGATCTGCCTCTTCTCAGCGGGTTCAGCACTCGTAGGGTGGAATATACGTATACTCTGGGATCCAAACATTTCTTCCACAGAAAAAAGCATATCGAAGCGCTTGCAATGCGCAAGTAGCGCACGGCATTTGTTTTTTTCTCCAACTTCTTATCGTCAAGGAGCTCATAAGGCTTTCGAATTCTATCAGGACACAACCGTATTTACTCGTGGTAAACTCTCTCATCGGAGTAGAACATACAAACAAATCAGCACTTATTTTTTTTCGCGTTTCTGCAAGTTCCGCAGCCTACTCTTCCAAAACAATTCCATCCGGAAAAGAGGTCGTATGTGAGACAAGACGACCGTTTCGAGGTTTGTTCTTGCCCTGTCTACGCATCGCGTTCCAAGAGACTGTCATAGGGGAAACGTTGAGACGAGGAGCAATGCCGGAAAAGAAATCACCGAAGGCGCCCGACGGAACGGTTCGTGGATGCTTGCGAGGCTATACCGTTTTCCGAAATCTGACGATTTGAAGCACTAAAGTAGATATGTGAGCTAAGATATATCATAAATATAAGGGAAGGCGCAGTTTCGGAGAAACC